TTCTGTGACGTAGCTCCCTTAAGTTTGACTACTACTGTGTGAATTCTTTCAGAGATCATGTACATGAGCTGTTATTGCGCTTACACTTTTAGGCCAGAGCACTACTACGTTAGCACCCTCGCCCTCAGTAAATATGAGCCCTTCTGCAATGCCCGACCAAACAACAAATGCTGGACCATCCAGCACAATGTTGCCAGTGGTACAAACTTCCCAAACATCAACTAGTACACCACCTCCCAAAACAACAACTCCTGGGGCACCTCCACCGTCTTCAACCCCGGGAACATCCATGGCCACTTCAGCTGGGGCACCTTCACCGTCTTCAACCCCAGGAACATCCATGGCTACTTCAACTTCTGTGATAACGCCAGAAAAACCAAGTAAGCAGTTTTAGTTGTTCTTAATAATAACGAATGATAAAGATTGCTCAGTGTTATTAATAATAGTAATAATNAGTTCAGCTTCTGTGATAACGCCAGAAAAACCAAGTAAGCAGTTTTAGTTGTTCTTAATAATAACGAATGATAAAGATTGCTCAGTGTTATTAATAATAGTAATAATAATTTGTTAATTTATATTGCGCTTTTTAACATACAATGATCAAAAGCGCATTGGGGATAGAAGGGAGACTTTTTGTTAAAGTCAGAGATCCGACTTGTGTCGAGATGTATTAGATATGAGCCAAACCTCGCTGATTTTAAAGCCAAATCTCATTGATACTAAATTTATATTTTGTAGATCGTTTCCTTCCGTTTTCCGGCTTTGTGTAGATTGTTTCAAAGACTGGTTATTTAAGCTGCTTTAGTACAACTTTCGAACCTCTCCAACCGTTTAAACTTACAGCCTGCGCGCGGGCTGGGCTCTTTAAATTTCTTCTGGAATTTCGACACTTAGGAATGAAGGTATTAATCTCCGAACAGGAGAGACCTCTCGCTGGCTACTTCTACCTTTATCAGTGCCACAAGGTTTTTTCTGACTAAAATTCCCCAAAAAGAGTAAAGCGAAAACTTCTTGAAAACTCCGCCTTATGTTGTAACGGGTGATCGATCATAAAGTTGACTCTTGCTTTTTATCACTTTTATCAAGGTTGTGTCACAGTTAGCTTCATAGCTGAACGAGCTTGGAATGCTTCATTATTAGAGAGCCAATCAGCCCCATACAATGAAACCAGCGAAGAGATATCGAAAGCGGTAAGCTGATATACGGTGGCTGGGAACAGTCTTCAGCCGCTTTTCAGCAGTTATATTTTAATGGATCAATGCTACCATATACTTAATCAAGTGACATTGGTATCGCATAGAAGAAAGCATTGGTTAATACCTCGTGGTTATTTAACAGCAGATTTGCACGATAGCGTCATTTGACTACAACTACCAGAATTCCTTTCGCTTTATCTTTGTTATTTAAATTTTGAAGCCCCAGTGGGGTTTAAATAACAATTAATTAGCTGAAGAAACAGAAAAAGTGAAGGATTCTGGTAGTTGTGGTCAAACTGGGGGACCCCATCATGCAAATCGTCTATTGAATATGCTACTCACTATCTGTTCTGATTTAGATAGTGAGTAGCCTATAGCAGTGTGCCGTTTGTTAATAAAATAGCATCCGCTTATTTGCGTTTTCGAATTGTGTGTGAAGAGGATTTAGATAAAGCAAGAGAAAATGAAGGGACATAGAGGGAGGCTCCCAGTCCTGGCCTTGGGATATGTCAATTCCGCTAAAGTTATTTTAGGGATTGCCGAGAACAGCGGGCGTGCGTCGCCGTTTACGTCTGCATGATACCATTCCTTAGGTGATCAAGCAATTTAGAACACAGCGGTCCACGGGGAAATACGCTTTGTCGATAGAAGCGCCTTTTCCGGGTACATTAGAGAGTCAGAACTGGTTTTTCCTGATGGATAAATCAAAGTGGGAGATATATATTTCACAATTCCTTGGGAATAAAAAGGCACATGCAGACCGGGGAAATGCAGTTCTGAGCGGTCAACAAAAACAACAAAACGTTCCAGCGGAACGTGTTATAAAGGTCGTGGCTGCTGTTATGGACTATGCGCTGTGGCTCTTTTCAAACGGAGTTAACAAGTCTCATTTTCTCTTGGACAACGTTTATAACGACTGCTATATATATTTTTTTATTAAAATTAGATTTTTCGCTCTCGATTTCCATTTGCGATAATTGACTTGGGTTGCGCCCCAGTCAGTTATCGCGCGATTATAGAAATCTCGAGCTCATAATCGAAGCGTGCTTTCGTTTGTCATGATCAGGATAAAGATCAGTGATCCAAGATCACTCGAATCATGGTGCATCAAGGGAGCCGATGAATCTATCACCAGAGTGGATTCATGGGCTTCTTTGATTGTACAGCTTTCCCGTAGCTTTCAACACGCACTTTGTTACGGGGTGTTTTCTAATTACAGATAAAGAATCTCTTCAGTGAATCCAGTAAACACCAGGATGTAGAGGTATCAGAACAAAAGTATTCCGAAAAAGATGGTGTTACGTTCGTAAAGGTGAAACTGTGTTTGGTTGTGAAGACTAGCGACGGTACTCTTATACACGACGTGATCATAGATAAAGTGAAGAGTGGTTACCTCGCGGAGGGGTTTAAAGTAAAAAAGGATAGCTTTGAGTTTAATCCACTGGGTAGGTATCAACATTCAATCTATCATCCGATCGAGCGATCGATCGATCAATCAATCAATCAGCAAACCAATCAACCCACCCATCCATCCATCCATCCATCCATCCATCCATCCATCCAGCCATTCATATCCATCAACCAATCAATTAACATTCAACTGATCGACTGTTCAGTTATTGTCGATGGAAAAACACCCATTAATCATGTTTATGTTCACATTCATCAGCTTTAACCATCAAAGTAGTTTAGCTTTAAGCAGGCTCTCATTTGGTCTGGTTCTTGATGACCAAAGATTTCGTTCGAATACGAAAAATAGTCCTAATTTTTCTACCATTGCGTTCAAACGTTAGCGTATTACTTCCGAAATGACTCCCGAGGGGGACTCTCATACAAAGGACGGGGGTGTTCGTCGGAAATTTTGAAGAAAACCCCTAAGAGGTAACAAGATCCTGRTTTGTGGGCGTGGCTTGAAATGTTTTCCATCCCTAAGAGGTACCAATTCTAAAACAACACATTATCTCCTGCCATATTTTCATTTTTCATGTCAATACCCTAAAAGATACTGCAGCTCCCGCTGTGGACCTTTTGAGGCTGAAAACCCTAAGAGCTACCAAAACCGCTTTCTAACCCCGAAAAGGTACGACGAGCACCCCCCTCCTTTTTATGAGGGACCCCCCTCGTGCGACAGCCCGACGAAGTGGAGCCCACGTTTCGCAGGTTTTGAGCTCACTGTTATTAGTTAGCCGGTCAGAAACGAACAACTGTTGATTTTGTCCTGATTCTCATGATATTGTGTTTTAGGGGTTGAATTCAAGGATTGGAAAGCTAAAGATGGCGAATGCGATAAGTGCGATGGAGCCGCTGGAGAGTTTACTATCGAGGGCACATGTGTGCCTAAGGATCGGAGCTGTAAAGGAGTGAAGAACACGAAAATGACAGATGACTGTGTGACCTATTGTGATTCAAGCGCGGGTAGGAATATAGCATCATATGTTAGATTGCTGTAACGTTGCAAACGAAATGTGCCGCAGAAGGGCCGTCTGCAATACAGGCCAGCCTAAAATGCACGGAGCGAATTTATTGTTCCTCTCGTATGTTGCCGGTTCGTGATTTTCCTATACGAACATAAACTTGCAAAATGTTTGCTTCTCTAGATGCACCATTCGTGAGGCAACGCCAGCTTTAACATTTGGTTATGTACCGTATAACAAGTCCATTGTTTATCATATGGGTTAACTCATAATCTATGTTTTTCTTATTTCAGGAAGTTACACAGCAGTTTCCTTCCTCATCTTGGCAATGGGGATCTTCTTTTCTTTCAGGTAAAAGCTTAATTTTATCGTAATACTCCAGGGCATCACCTTGGTGTAACCTGAATTAGCACCTATCTAGTGAACTCGACGAACTCCTTTGCCCCAACGTAATTCAAAAGTTATCAATTTTAAAGAGGCTCTATGTAAACCAGTCTAAAAACAAAATAAATTATTTCGGTTTGGGAAATTATTTTCACTCGTCATAATAATGATTTGCTAATTTAGTAATTTACCAAAGAGATGATGGAAGTCCATATTGAAAAATATGCCTGGTTAATATCAGTGGAACAACAAACCACTAATTATTTTCACAGAGCGTAGAGGACGATCATTAAAACTTGTCATCATTCAACTTGGTAATGTACTGCATTAGATGGTGATAACTAACCAGAGAATGCAATTTG